AAACTCTTGACCATTCCACTGATATCCTCACCAACCACATCCCAATACTGTTGGAAGAATTTCCCCATAAATCCATCTGGACCCGACGACTTTGTAGGGTTCAAGGATTTCACTGCTAGCCAAATCTCTTCAAATGAGATTTGCCGTGTCAAGCACGCATTCTGCTGCATGGTCACCCGTGGCTGAACACAATCAGTAATGTACTCTATATTCGAAGAGGAACACGTGGTAAAAATCTCCTGAAAATAGGAAAGGATTAGTGGTTTAAATTCACTATCATCCGTACACCACCGTCCTGCATAATCTTCTAAACCCACCATCCTATTTGCACGACGACGAGCAAGCGTCTTAGAATGAAAAAATTTTGTGTTCTTTTCTCCTTCATTAAGCCATTGGACTCGAGATTTAAGCTTTCAATATACCTCTTCCTCCCGGAACGCCTCTTTAAGGCTACTCTCCAACTGCAAGACCTCATCACGATCAAAGTCAAGAGCCAGATAAGTAGCTTTGAGTTGTTGCTGTAAGAGAGTAATAGTAGCCTTGGAACTTCTCCATTCACTTCTTCTCCAATCCAAAATCCCATTCCTAACCCAGCATAATTTCCCCGAAATCTGTAGCCCTCTTGACCCCGGAAACTGTCTGCACCATCTCTCTTCTACCACTTTTCGGCACCCCTCTGAATCCCCCCAGCGAGGATCAAAAATAAATCTTTTACGCCATTTCCTACATGGACCTTGGGTTTGTAGTAAGAGCAGCACATGGTCAGACCATGCACCACCACATGATGTACTGTAGCAGCCGGATACAGTGTAACCCATTGATCATTCCCAAAACCCCTATCCAAGCGTTCCATTATGCCTCCCTCCTGCCGCATGTTCCTCCAAGTAAACGGATGACCCACATATCCCAAATCCAATAGGTGACTATTCACTGCAAACATGGAAAAATCATACAAGCTTCGTTCCGTTCATGGCAAACCCCCACGCTTCTCAGATACGCCCATAATATCATTGAAATCTCCCATAAGTAGGCAAGCCTCCTAACACTGGGCCATCCTATCCTGTAATATTTGCCATTGTGATCTCCGTACTCGCTCATCAGTACTTGCATACACTGCAAAGAAGCGCCACTTGGCACCATTCTCCTCATCCTTGATCACAACCTCAATAAAAAAATCAGCATACTTGAGTAATACAACCTGTGACATCTCCTTTCAGAATAAACACAATCCTCCACTCAAGCCCCGAGGCTCAACCGCATGCATAAATTGCATACCTAACTGACGTTTTAAATACCCATAGCGTTGACTCCAATTTTTACTATGTCAGGAGTTTGGATCCTAACTTGCTCCTTCAAACTCGAAACTATCAGAACACTCCCAATACCTTGACAGTTCCAGACTATGATCCTCATAATGCTCGCGGAGACTCGAGTCCGGCCTCCGCTTCTTGAATTAGAGTATCGTCAAAAGTTATCTCCCTTCGAGATCCCATACTGCCTATCCCTCCACAAGCTGACACCAACCGAATACTAGCACACCTCCTTTTATCCATACTGCCATTCTCATTTTCCTCTCTCTCCATTTTGCTCCTAAAGCCTACACCACCTGTGTTAGAATTAACAGGTTGCCCAAATATAAGTGGCCCCATATTAAAAGGATCAGACCCGTACGTCAGCGCCTCAGATTGACCCCCCAAATTCCCTCCGACATCAGCCCAGTTACTTAAGGCCTCGTGTATTGTTCCTTGCACTGTGGTCCTTTCCTCTACCCCGACCACCGCATTCAAATCAATAGCGATCCCACTGTCGACAGAAGTTTGAACACCTCCATGAGGAAGATGAGGCTCAACTGAGTTCGCGGGTGAGACCTCAATGTTGCCATGTGGCCCCAAAATTCCAGCCTCCCATGCCGCCTCCCGTATCTGCCTATTCCGTTCTTCTGCCTCTCTTGTTGCACGAATTCTCCCAGCTAGATTAGAGTCCTCAGCATAACCCCCCCGTGTATGCCCTCGTCTTATCCCCCAATCACTACAGTCAGCTTTGCTTCCCCCCGAACCTTCCTTCATACTCCCTGTAAAATAAGACTTGCACCGACGCATATTCCCATCAGTACTGTCCCCTAAGACCCATGGACTGGAATCAGAAGACTCCTTCCGTCCATGTTGCCGAAGTCTTCGTCCGCGCAAGTCCTCACTTGCCTCCAATCCTACAAAAGACATCATCTGATCCTGCAATTTTGGGAACTATCTGCAGAAGCCAGTTTTTCAACACAAATCCGACTGGGATGTCCCAGACACCCGCAAAGAAAACAATATTCTGGCAAAACTCATAACGAAAATCCACCCAAGTGGCACCCTCTTCAGGAAACTCAACAAAAGAACCACGCATAAGCGATTGCCGCACATTCAAACGAATATGAACGTGTAAGAACCGCCCTATACATTCTTCCTCCTCTGTATGGTCAACTTCCAGCACCTGCCCCAACACCGAACCTATTTTTCTGGCCACCACCGTGGTTATATTTAGCAGCGGAACTCCATGCATCTGTACCCAGAAGGAAGCCATGGATGCCTCCACCTCCCGCACCTCCTTCCCAGGCTGGATTTCATATAGGAGTACGAGATGTTCCTTGTAAGACCAGGGCTCCATATCCAAAACACGAAGCATGTCCCGTCTACTAGCAAATCTTATTAGAAACTTCCATTCATCAATCTCTTTTATTGAAACTCCATCGCCCCCATGCCATAATTTTTCAAAAACCCCCACAAACCCATCTGAGAATACAGCCTTAGAAGTTAGAACCCTTGCCACCAAGGAGAACCGCGACCCCCGCATAAGATCGATTCCATCCCCTGCCTCAATCCGAATCCCCCCTCGTTCACGTGCTGACAATCGTAGATGGCTACCAAACCGCTTCTCTAAATCCTCCATGCTGCAAACCACCACCACCTGTACTGCCCACCCTTGCCAAAGAGACAAAGGCCTGTCAAGAACTAGCCTTAGCGAAATCACCCTTCCCCAAGGCCTTTGTAAAAACATCTGCCAATTGGAAGCGTGTAAGTACATACGAAGGACTAATTATTCCAGCTTGTAGTTTTTCTCGAACTATATGACAATCAATTTCGATGTGCTTTGTACGCTCATGGAAAACACGATTAGCTGCAATATATAAAGTTGCATGATTGTCACAAAACAATGGTGCATGGGCTATCTGTGGGACTTTTAAATCTTGTAGTATAAAGCGTAGCGAAGTCAGCTCCAAACATGTGTTGGCCATAGCTTGATATTTAGCTTCTGCTCATGATCTTGAAACATTTGTTTGTTTCTTGGATTTCCATGAGATAGGTGAATTTCCAAGAAAAACACAGTATCTTGTAACTGATCTCCTTATCACACGGCAACCTCCCCAATCTGAATCACAAAAGTTTTTAAGGTAAGATTGTTGGTGGCAGAAAATAACAAACCCTGACCTGGAGTCCTCTTGATGTATTTAAGGACCCATATGGCGGCATTCCAATAGGTTTGCAGGGCTGATGCATTAATTCACTTAGTGTTTGAACATGATATACTATATCAGGCCTTGTGATATTAAGGTAGATCAATCAGTCAACTAGTCCATTGTATTTGGGTGGATCATTCAGTAATTCTCCATCTGTGGGAGGGAAATGGTCAAGTACCAGTATGATGCTCTAATACCATCTCAAGAAAATAAATGGTTGAATATTTTGTTGTATTAAACAAACGTCAAATAGTACAATACATATATACAGGCATAGCCTTCTATCAATCCTACTGTTACGGCTTAGAAGCCGTGATCCAATATTAGTGGAATTGGACCAACACTAATTTGGGCAAGTAAAGATATTTCAAATATTTACAAAAATATTTCTTAATACACCGAGCCAATTAACCCATCACCCCAATAACTGATGGCGCTCCCACAACCCACAACCCATAACCCACACCCAAACCATACCCACCCTCCATGTGATGGCTTCTCCCCTCACTCTATTTCATGTCCTCGATTTTGTTGATGAAAAAATAATAATAATATTTCTTCGTGGGGAAAAAGAGGTTGGGACTAGGCGGGTTGGTGAGGGTAAGTAAGGCTTGGTGATGGTTGTGGGTTGTGTGTGTTTAGGTGGGGTTAGGTTGGAGAGGTTGTGGCTACTGTGGCGAGGATAGGAAGAATGTTTTTTAGTTTTTATTTTTATTTTTTTAGGTGAAAGGAATATTTAGATGGTGGAAATTAAAAATAATACCAAAATACTATTTTACCCCTGCATTTAACGAAAGTGAAGTTGAAGGACTACGGGAACAATTTTGGAAATTGAGAGACCAAAATGCGAATCGGGTCAAAGTCCAGGGACCATTAGACCTAAAAACCCTTTCATTTTTATTGTACACACCTTTTTTTCTTCGTTCAATCATACATTGAAGTCCAACATTAGCCGGTCATTTAGAAAACCATATCCGAGGATTAGTTTGATTGTTTTCTTCAAACTCTCTTCCACAAATATAAATAAATAAATATTAAAGGAGAATGGATATGGTTATAATTGCCAGTAATTAAAAAATTAATGAAGAATATTCATGTATACAGTATATATCTATAGGGAGTGATTAAACATTAAAAATACCAGAAAATGCCATTGATTAATACAAATATTAAGAATTGAAATTATTAATAAAATGAGGATAATATGGTAAATTCACACGTTTTTATATTAAAAAATTTAAAATTTAAAATAAATTCAGATAATGAGTCCAATTTTTATGAAACACAACTAAATAAATAAAACTTAAAATAAAATATAAAAAACCAATTGGCACACGCCCCAAGGGGCTAGTATATATGATGCTTCATGAATACAACCGTCCACGTCCTCTTCTCTAGTAACCATTTTTGAGTGAGAAAGAGACTAACAGCATTTAGCTCAACGCCATGTAGAAACATCAATAGGAATATTGTGTATAAGTACAATGCATGAACCTCTCCATTATCGTTTCAACATAACATGTTTTTGAAGGCCAGGTATGTGTGTGTGCATAAAGTAGTCTTCCCAATCAATGCATTTTGGATCAAAATTGAAAGTTTCCGATTCCACGAAACTCTCCCTTGCTATCCTTCGCAGATCCTCGGCATTGTTGTCATCAAAGCTGCATTTAAATCAAAGTAACTTAAATGCATGATTACACAGATAGAAGTACTTATGTTTAATTGACAGCCAAAATAATGCATACGTACATGCCCTTAAATAGCATATAGGGCTCGTATAGCTCTACCAAGCGCATCACCAATTTGAGTTTCTGATTATAGTTGACATACAGGTCTTGGAAATATTCGCCAAATGCTTTGTTTACGAACTTTAAACCCTTCAAACAAGAATTAAAAGTAATATATATGAATATACATATACATATATATGTATGTAATTTGTAATTACTGTTAATGGGGGAAATCACAAACCTCCAAAGGTAGCATGAAGCGAATTTGCATATACATGCGAAAAGTAGCCATAGTCTTGAATATTTTACCCTTGCCAACCTTGACAGGCTTTCCATCCTTGTCAATCCATGGATTTTTTGTGAAGTATCGGAAGACAAAACTGTGAATATTAAGGAAATTGATAGGATTTCTCAAAGAGCTTCCCACATGGTAAATGATACTAGACGATTTATTTGCATTTGCCACCATTGCTACAGTTATTGAATTTACCACCATATCAACAGGAACCTGCATAATTTCAAAATCGATACTTTTGATTGTAAAATTACTGTTGTGTGCTTGTACCTATGAGTATTTGGAGAACCATGAAGTTTACTAAAACTTACCATATCAAATACTGACATAGGATCCACAAGCAAACATGTCAGCTTCCCTTTACAATAACCAGCAATTACGCTATCAATGGTTCTGCAACAACAACCAAGATTGCACACGATTAGCCTTTTCTTTACCATAAAAAGAAAAAAAATTGTAGCCTTTTGTTTTCTTTCCCAGTCCCCAATGAAAAATTGAAAATTTTGGAAAAAAAATATAATTAACCACTGATCTATTTTATTAGTTCCAGTGTCTCATAATATAAGCTTATAATTTTGTTTACAAACAAACTGAGTTATGCATGTTTTCTGAGTAAAATCTAGTGAAATTTTAGATAGCATGCAAGTTTCATACCTGAATCCTTGGACCCAACCTGGAAATGGCTCTTTGTAAGTACTGGTGACTACAGTCGGACGTATGATGACGACGGATAGATTTTCTTTTGAGTGTCTTAGAAGTATTTCTCCTATCGCTTTTGTGAAAACGTAGGTGTTTGGCCATCCATACAATTTAGCCCTGAAAGAATATAAGAAATAATAATGAGAAAATTCTATAAGGATATTAGTGAAAAGCCCCAGAAAAAAATAGACGAACAATTTCACACTGCAAAAAAATTATTTTGGCACTCATTTTATCTCAATTCAATGAATGAATCGATAGAGCTAGAGAACTGCAGAAATAACTTCTTTTTTTTGCTTATTGATAAAATTTGGAGAAAAATTAGTCCAAAACTGAGAATCATGCTTGTGGTTTTATAGGGCACAGTTGGATGGATGCTCGAAAAAACCTTTCAATGCCAAAATCCTTCATCGTAGTTGTAATAACTTCTTCTGTCGCATTTTGTGCTTTTAGTTCATTCAGTTTCTCTTCCACCAAATTCTTCTCTTGCACTTTGAAATCAAATTTAGTGATCTCCTTTTCCATCTCATCCATGCAAGATGAGTCCTCTAGTATAAGTCCTTCCCTTTCACCACATACATAAGCTGAAAAACAATCAACATATCAGTGAAGGAAATAAAAAAAAATTGAGACCAGGAAAAAACATTCTGAGATGATAAATAAAGATGATACTTAGAAAAGAAAAAAAACATGCTGTGGATGCGGTAATAGTACATAACTCTTCTCCTCTCCTTTTTTGACATGAAATTTGAGCATATAAAGTTTAGGATATGGAAAGGCTATATATATACCATATGGTAGCCTTGTAGGCCACGGGAAACCAAGAGAAGAAAAACAAACACTAACCAGTTGACACGTGGAGTAGCATCTCTAGCTTTAGACATTTCTTTGCAAAGCTCAGTACGTGTTGAACTCCAAATGTATTGACACTCAGTGCAATATCATATCTGCAAACCAAATTTATGGTAAATTGTAATTACATGTTTCTTTTGAGTAGTTTTGGGTAACATATAGGAATCTGCAACTGACACTTCGAAATAATTATCATGCATACTTCTCTTTAATTTAAAAAATGAGACAGAAGAGTTGAATCGTTACTCATTGAAAAATTGTTTTTTCTCAAAATTTGACTAAGTATGAAAAATAGACTTTTGAAATACTAATGTTTGCAATGATATTTTTGGCGGTTTATATTTCTTACAACTTAAATAATCAAACACAATTTTATGAGATTTTAGTATAAAGTATACATTGACTTATTGAGGTATCAATATTGGTATAAACTGTAACTTATACTAAAACTGAATTTTCATATTTTGATTTGTTGGGAATTTGATTTTCTAGTATTTTTAATTGAATCCAAATGGGGGTACTTCCTTACTTACATTGTAAACTTAAGTAGTTGGAGTAATATAAAAATAAATTAAAGTAAAAAGACAGGACATTTATATATATACAATTATTCTCTTATCTAGATGTCCGCAAGTTATTATTGTGCGGATGCTATTGTAAACAAACAGGAAAGCAGGGAAAGGTAGTACAAAATACATGGCGTTCGCACGATAATAACGTCCGGATGTCCGCATAGGAGAATTTCTGTTATATATATATTTATTATATTTATTTATATGCATATATAATATAACAGCTATATACCTTTCATCAAAATTTGTGGTTCCTGCAGAGTTAAGTATGATTTCAATGTCAGTGCACATTTCTTCTCTCAACCTGAACTCTTTCACTCCTAGGTCACCAAAAGTTACGTCTCCTGGCACAGCCACAACTTTTTTTGCTATGAAAGAATCAAACTCTGCACCCCATTTCTCTCTAAGAACCCTGAACAACTCCTTCCCTATTATCTTAATATAAATAAAAATAATTAAACATTAATAAAATGTACGTCATTAGAAGATACATTAAAATTATTTGGCTATTATGAAATACATGTTTATATATAAACCTGATTTTGCATACGATCTGTGGCTGACTTGGTGTCCGAAGCTCTTAAAAGAAGATAAAGCTTTTTCACATCTGGTTGAACCCTTAGTATTTTCTCCACAAATACTGCATGTGCATTTGTAAATTAAGTTACTATGAGAGAGAGAGAGAGAGAGAGAGAGAGAGAGAGAGAGAGAGAGAGAGAGAGAGAGAGTACCCATTCCAAGGAAGCCAGTGGCTCCGGTTACTAAGATGGTCTTGTTCTGCAAATATCCTAGTATGCTCTTCAACTCCATTGTAAAAATCTGAAGGATAGGTTGAGTAATCTCAGAGTGCATATATATAGAAAGAGTCTTGCCTACTTATAAAGGTTGTACTTTAACTTTTCCTTTTTTGTTTTCTTTTTTTCTTGAGAATAACTTTAACCTACATGCATGAGCCATGTCGTTGGGTTTCTGTTTGTTGTTCACCGTCCCAATAATTCATAATTATTAGTAGATTCTTGCAGTTGAGCTAGCAGTAAGGTATGCCTTAAACATAAGAGTAGATGGAGCAGACTGATGTAGACCTAAGGTTTCTCTTCACATGGGTGGGAGATGGGCATTAACAATGGGCAAAAATTAATTTTGCTTCCTCTAGTTTGTTATATTTTTCACTTCCGACTAGAGGAAGCAAAATTAATTTCGATAGAGGAAGCTTCAACGTGCTAGTTATGGAGTTGGTTGATTGGCTTTCATTTTGGGAGCGGCTGGTGTAGAGTGGACCAGTGTCTACTTCGTAAGCTAACCTAGTGTATCGTAAAAGGAAAATAATTAGCTCTTTATATGTAAAAATTATTATTCTTTAAAGACAAATCACGACATGTATCCATAAATTTTTATTTTTGTAATTTTAATGTATTTCTCTTAATAAACAAATAATAATTTGACATTTATGCATAAATTTTTCTTTTTATAACATTAATAAATTATTTTTTCATATATATTAAACCGTAATTTGTCTATGGAGTGAGTGAGATGTATAGTCAAACAATGAATACTTTTTTCTTTTCTTTTTTTCAGCACAGCCGCCCATTGTCTTAAATATCACTAGTTTCAAGAAAAAATAAAAAAGAGCAACACCGCTCATGCACATGCAAGTAGTCGCCCCAGCCGTCCTTGCAACTTGATGTGGCAAACTATGAACGTCTGGGAGTGACCCACGTAGGCGGCGCATGTGTACCTAACAAAAATTCAAAGACAAAAAGAGGCATTAACTGTTGAGCAACACAACTTTTTTCCCACCAAACATTACTCGGTTTCCAATTTGGACGTAGCCTGCTGACATAATCGGACACATGTCAACGTCAGCTCCTAAGGATCCACGCGTTTGCAACAAATGTTAGGTTTGAACTTCGTACAACCCTCGATTTAAGAATAATGAAGGGCTTGGGATTCGGGAATACAATTAAATTTCTTCTGCCTATTCAAACTCAACTCACTCAAAATTTTCCCTTTAACAAAAACAATAGCCTAGCACACTCAAACTTTCTCTTTTAACAAAAACAATAAAAAGCAATATAAGCATGTGAAAGATATTAAAGTTGTATGGAGATTTTTTTTTTAATTACAAAAAAAGTGGTAGGAGTGTCATCTCTTAGAGCCAGGCATGAGTTAAGGGAAAGCTCTCCCCAAGAGGTTCGTTACACATGCAGAAGATCGAACCCAAGACCTCATTGAGGAGCCCGATTACATTTGCCCAACATGTGTGGCCTGGCCCGTTTAATTTTCCACTAGACCAAACCCACTTAGGTATGGAGGATTTTTTTTAACATTGACTAACATTGTGAATTTTGTTAGTGCTTCTACTAAGCACCGTAATGAGTTAAATTTAATTCGAAAAGTTTAACTCAAAGAGTTGTTGGATTATGGGGAACTTGAGACAGGTAGAAGACTTAATCAAGGTCGTAGTTTGAAACAAGCTGGAGCCACTTGTTGGGGATCTCACTTTGCCTCTATTACAAATTTGATGAGTTCATTTAAAAAGACTAAAATACTTCTCCAGGGAATAAGTGATTATAGACCTAACCAACAATTTCGTGGCGATTCAGAGAGTAACTATATTGTTATGATGTCTTTTGAATTTGTGTTTTCATTGCTTTTGATGGATAAAATTATGAAATTGACCAACTTTCTTTGTCAAGTGTTTCAGACAAAAACTCAAGATATTGTAAGTGCTTTAAACTTTGTTGAAAACACAAAATCACAGTTCGAAGATATAAGGGCACATGACTAGGATGATTTATTTATAAGTGTGGTATCATTTTGTGAACAATATGGTATTGATGTTCCTGATATGAGTTCTCGTTATATGAGTCCCTATCATAGGAATGAGGAAACACGTAGAGTGATAACTCTTCTTTATTATATTTTGTAAATATCTCTTCCTTCCCTTCCAAATAATATTTTTCTTAGAAGTCAGCGAATCGTAAAAAGACTTGTATAAAATTATTGTTATATTGCTGCTTTCCACTTACTCGGTTCCCCACGCGGCAAATGGGTACGTCCGGGGTCGATCGTATAGATCGACACAAAAAATAATTATTTTAACGAATCATGCCGCAGAACAAACCTCACCCTAACCACATAAAACCAGAAAATTAGTGATCGTTTTTGTCAACAAAAAGATTTTATTATAGTTGAACATTACTATCGCATTGATGTATTTAATGATATGATAGATTGCATGTTGAGGGAGTTAAATGACAGATTTCCATAGCAAATTGTTAAACTTTTTATTCTTAACTCCAACATTAGA